AGAGAACACACTAAGCCAAGAAAACTATAAGTATCTGTGAAAAACAACAATAAACGGACATCGCGGCACCTCTAAGGACAGATCATGCATTTTTTTATTGCAAATCTAACCCACACTGAAGCCCATGAGGAGCTTGGACCCTTCTTCCTTATGAGTAGTCAGAAAAGTGAGTCAAGTTCAGTTTTGTGTGATACAAATACATTTGTGTTCTCTCTAGTCTGCTTTTGTCTAGCAAAGTTGAGTGCTGTGTCCTTACAAACCCCTTGCTTTTTTGTTTTCATGTCACAAATACCTTCTCTCTGCAGTACTGGGGTCGGAGATCTGGCTGGATGGTACTGCTGGAATGGTACTAACCTGCTTTTTTTCTTTCTTCTAAAACCCCAGTAGTGCTTCTGCATCCCAGTTTTCTGCAGCAAACCCAGGCACTGCCCCAGCTCCTGCCCTGCCACCGAGTGACAGAGCTGCAAAACAGACATGGTCAGCAAAAAAGGGATCCCAGAGCCTTCCTGCTCTCCTGAACAGAGGGTTTAAGGACACTGACTTGAGATGCTCCACCCAAGGTACTGGGCTTAGCTTCTGAAACAAAATGTGCTTGAAAGGCCAAAGCCAGAGCTCACTGGTGTGTTAAGGGTGTGGATTTGGAGTCCAGTGTTCCCAGGTCAGGACCTTAGGCCTGTGCAAGCACAACTGAACCTCAGTGATGAGCAGGAGTGACTGTGAGAGAAACATAACCAGAGCTGCCCCTGCTGTGCTCATCTCGCTGTAGCACTGGGTCTGGGGTTGGAAACTGAGTATTTAATGATGTAAAGGTTCTCATACTTCCTGAAAGTACTTTGGAGACATTTTCTGCTGGCATGATTTGATCTTTGTATTTTTACTTTGTATTTTCTTCTTTTTTTTGGCAAATAAAGGACTTTTGAATGGAAAAAGGAAAACCTGTCCCATAGCAGTGGGGTAGAGTGTTATTGCTCACTTCATCTCCAGCTGCTGTCCCAGTCAGCTTCCCTGCTGTGGTGAGTGCACACCAGCCAGTCACCTGCCAGACAAAATGCCAGGCTTTCTTCTCAAAAATCCTGGGACAAAGCAGTCTGAGCACTTACCTGCCTCACATCCTCCTCCTCAACATGGAGCACTATGCCTGGGGGACTCACCAAAATGCCAAACTCCCTGACTCTAATCTGGCCTGAAACAAAGACATCTCCTGGATCTTCTGCAAAAGGAATCAAGGCAAAAAAAAAAGGGGGGGGGAGAAAAAGTAATGCCTTTTTAATGTCATTACAGGCAAGTGCTCGAGCAGTCGGTGCCTTTTGGTCTCACTTCATCCAGGAGTGCTCAGATCTACCTGTGGCACAGTCTGTCTGGTGGGCACCCATGGGCTGCTGTGGAACACCAGAGGTACTTCAATTTGAAGAAGTAAACGGTTAAGCCCAAAGATGTGCCTGGAACATTCTTGGTACTACTGGAAATAGTATTTTCCACCTTTTAGAGAGAGTTTCCTCAGCTGCACACCTGGAACGATTGGAACATCAGAGCTGCTCGTTTGCATCGCTTCGTTTCTCCAAGTCAGGTAGCAATCAAGCTGCTCTCTAGGGTTTGTGCAGAATTTTAATGCCTCAGAAGTGTCTGGGGCTGAGTTTTGCATGCAGTAAGATGCAGTTGTGCTGGCTCACACTGGAATCTCTGCATCATTCCTGTGCCACAGCTGTATGATCTGCTCCTTCAGCATCTGAGTCCCACAGAAGGAGCTCAGGGCAGGGCCAGAAGTTCCTGCCCTAGAAACAGGCTTTTCAGGCTGGATTTCAGCTGCTGATACAAGGAACTCTGCAGGTCCTCCTGACCACACCAATGCTATGGTTTGTGCAGGGGCAGCTTGGGGGTGTACTCAGGGCACCAGGTGGAACTTCCACCCCAGGAGCAGCTGTTACTTGCTGCCTCTGTGAGTGTTCAGCAGTGCCCTGCACGGACAGGACTGTCTGTGTGGAGAGCCTGCTATGTCCCCAGGCACTGCTCCCTGCAGGAAGGGACTGCTGGGGCAGCAGCAAGTCAGCACATCCAAGTGCTCATTTCCAGTTTGGTTGCCCTGTCCCTCCTCCCTCTGGGATTTAATCCCAACCCACTGATGCATCACAGACTCTTTAAGGTTGGAAAAGCCCTCCAAGATCGTTGAGTCCAACCTTTGGCAGAGTACCACCACATCAAGTGCCACACCACTCATGTTTTGAACGCTTTGGACCACATACCATACCATGTGTGATCCACGGGAAGAGCCTTTCCACTCCACAGGGAAGGTTAGAGGCTTCTCCTTGAAAGAATGTCTACAGAGCTGGATGGTCAGAAGCACCAGCCTAGGTTTGCTCACTACACATGCCAAGGAACTGCTGCTGCTTCCTTCTGATGCAGCTCTACAAACCATGGGGTTTTAGTAAAGTCTGGAAGTTAATCCCTGTCTTCAAGAGACTTGGGAAGAAAGCTGGAATATGACACACTTCCTGTAAGAAATGCCCGAGCAGAGCTGCCCAGATGCACAGCCCCTGCAGGAGGGACTCCCCCAGCCCAGCTGGGGCCAGCTTGGAGCCCAAGTGGTCCTTGAGCTGCTCCTTGTCCGTGGCTGCCCAGCGAGGGCCGTGCCCAGGACGGGCAGTGGGAGCACATCCCTGTGAGGGACTGAGCTCTCCCTCTGTTCCCACAGAACGGGAAGGTCTCGCACAGGAAGCTGCTGTGAAGGGAAACAGATGCTTTCCAAACTGGAACCGCTGCAATTCTCGTCAGCACCAAGATGATCCTCTCAATTGCTCAGGTCCTTCAGGAACAACTAGCCAGGAGGGTAAGAAATCCAGACCAAGCCAACCCTAATTTAAACAATTACAGAATTAGTCATCAACGGACCAAGTAGTACTTAGACAACACGTTCAACATATGCCACACTGGTGCCCTCAGCAGTTGCAAAATAGAATTAGAAAACTAACATTTATTAAATCAACTTGAATTTTAATATACATTTCAAGAACGTGGCAGCATCAAAGGAAATGTTTTAGAAACAACCTGAATCTACCATTGCAGTTGTACATTGACCATCAGGGCTCTCCTGGCGACGGCTCCAGCACATGCTCAACCTAAGGTCTCCAACTTTTGACACCACATTTAATGCAGCAGTGAGATAGCAAAGATTCCAAATACTCCCACATTTCTGGAGCAAAGGTACTTTGTATTTAATTGAATGAAAGTCCTAAAAAATGTACCATCAACAATCCCAGCAACACTTAAGAGCTCTGCAGAAGCCCCCGGACAGCCCCTGTGGCGCAGTTCGCTCCAGGCTGGCAACTCGGTCACACGTCGTGGACTAACAGACAGGTTTACATTAGTAGGTCACGATCAAACCACCAAATCAGAGACAGGTAGGATCCTTCTGGGTCAACACAAAAATCACATACAAGTTTAGCTAAATACATTTTAATAGGACATCGTTAAATCTCAGGAGGGCTAAAAAACACAGATCTTAGGTACTTGGGTTGGCAAATAAAGACAAGAATACTAAGAAGCATTTTCCACCATTTACTCATTATCAAAAATATTTTTCAACTCTTCTTGCAAAACAAAAACAAAAAAAGTACAGACTGGACACGTACATCACATTTTTCTTCCTATGGCTTTAACCCCCCACCCTGCCCACCCCACAGAAAAGACGGGGGGAGAAACAAACCAAAACCAACAAAAAGCTCTGACCACATTCACAGAAGATGACACCATGGTACACTACAAAACAAAACAAAAAAAGAGGTGTCATTTGTGTCCAAAGGTTTTTGCTCATCTCTTCGGTGAGGAACCGTCATTGTACATGCTTTGTGCCCGATCAGAGCAGGTGTGACGCGGCCGCGGCGCCACGGGCTGCAGGACCAGGGCAGGAGCTCACACCCCACAGACCACGACACGCTGCTGGAACAGGCATTGCCTGCCACGTGAGACAGGAACGTTCGTGTTCTAGTCAGCCCATGTTCAGCTTGTGCTGTCACTTCAAGAGCAGAAATTTCTGCTTTCACAAAGCAATCTGATTTTTTAGCCCTAAAAGCAAGGCTGAACTCTTGTGCCAGTATCCTAGTCAGGGATTGAGAGCAACCATTTCTGAGCACAGCTGAACTCACCACAGGATTCTGTCGCCGTAACGCTTTCCCCACAAGCTCCTGACAGTCTTGTGTTACTTTTCCATTTTCCAGCCTTTTGGCCCGGGCTGCAGAGCACTGACCTTCAGAGGGTGCTTTCAACACTTCAGCACAGGATGAGATAGACTCTGGGTGGAGCTGTAGATAGCTTATTCTGTCTAACAAACACCCAGAATACTTGACCTTAGGTAGCCACCGATGCTCTGCCCCAGCTGGAAGGTGCCTGTGGGCCCGACCCTCGCTGGGCCCTGGGCCTGGTGCGGTACAGACCTGACCAAACCACCTACGGTGGTGCTAACTGCTGTGCAAGTCTCTGTGTATGCTGGCACTGGTGGCACCAGCGCAGGGAAATCAGCCAAGGAGTCTCTGTAACCCACGAACCCCCTTCTCTTCCCTAGAAGCAACAGCAGGAAAACCAGTGAGAACTCAAGGGGAAAAAAAAAAGGTGTGGGGAGCTTCTGCTCTCGCTCAAGGGAGAGGATGGTGGTAACAAAACTTGAGCCTTCTCTGGGCACAGGTGACGCTCTCCCCCAGCCTAGAGCATCAGGAACGTGTCCCACGGGGGGAGCTGGTGTGGAGGGTACAACTGACCGGGGACACGACCCAAGGAAGTGTCAGGAAAACAACAAAAGAGGATGATATCAACGGGATGATGTATCTGAGCCAGTTCCATCTTTCTATGTGCCCAACCCTCCTGGCCCTTGTCTGCAGTCTGAGCTGCTTTCTGGGCAATTACCTTTCTCAGTGTCTTTACTGATCTTTTTTAATTGTAAGCTGTTCCGTACAGCAGAAAACCAATTCTCCCAGTCAGCCATTGCCTACCCTTCCCAGACTGCCTTCTCCAGCTCAGCGCTGCCTTTCCCACAGGAATCTCAGGCCATTTCCTACTCACGGTGACTGTACCTCACGATAATTATTTCTCTACACCATTGTGTAGCACAGTTGAGATGGACTAACTAGGTACCACTTCTCTACGTCGCAGCCGAAGCTCTGACCGAGCACAAAGCATGAGCAAGTACAATGAGGTTAATATATTCCTTGTCAAAGACCTTGTGATAAAATGATTTACATCAGCAATCGATTTCAAACTATGAGGTGCTGTAAGAACTAAAAATGGTTTTAGGGTAACTCCTCCATTATCTGCAACTATTTCCCAGACACTAATACACAGAACATAGCAATGAAAAACACTTGATACAAGTGATCTAAACGCAGGAGCTCCAGCAAGTTAAACAGAACCATAGCTGCCTTAAACCTGTAGCAGTTCCCCTACGGATGGCAGGGAAAAGAAAGGAAGGTTCAACAGTCATATCTCATGTCTATAGCTTCATCCAAACTTTTATCGTCGTGTGTACTGGCAGCTAAAAACGTCGTTACTGGTGACCCTGTCACATTGATTACACTGGTGCTTGTGCTGGCATTGCGCACCGCAATGCTTGTCACATTAATGCCCAAAGTCAGCCGAGTCTGCTCCAAGGCCTTTTCTGGCACTGCAAACGCCTCCAGCTTCTTCTCCCCGTTGGCCATGTAGGAGTTTTGGCAGCCGCGGCATATGCAGTCAAGGCAGGCTTTGCGGTTAGAGTAGCAGGGGCAGCGTTGGCCACGGCAGGTAAGAACACTTGGATTTTGGGTGGCACGACCACATTTACACCCTTTCTTTTCTTGTGGCTTTTTGTACACAGTTTTTGTTGGGCTTCCTGGCATAACGTTACTGCTGGGAACCTTCTCCTTTGCCTTGTCCTTCGTTTTCAGCACCCCTGGTTTGGCTTTCGGGTGGGATTTCTTAGGGGCGTGTTCTAAATTCTTTTTCACGCTTTTGTTAGACAGGAGCACAGTTTTACTTATTTTAGGAGTGGTGCCTCCATTAGGTACAGTCGCAATAGGCTGCAAGGACATTTTGTTCTCCTGTTTCACTGTCACGGGAGCCGATGCTCCCAGCGTTGGGCCACAGATGATGCTGGAGATGGGCAGAGGTTGGACCTTCTCGCTGTCGCTCTCGGACCGAGATCGCTTCCTGTTTAACTTCACCACCTTGGGCGTCGCCGCCGTGCACGAGATGCCGTGGGGAGAAGCCTCTGTGGACATGAAGATGTTATGGCCGAGGGGAGGGGGAGAAAGCTGCAGGAAGGGACCGTTGGCCATGTTGGTCTCCAAGCTGGGCTCCAGATTGGAGTCGCAGACTTCGGTGCTGGACACGGTCTCCAGGCTGCGCAGCACCTCCTCGACACTGAGCAGCAGCGACCCGCCCGACTTGATGTCCTCGCTGAAGCCGCAGATGTCGATGCCTGTGGAGCACAGGTCGCTGGTGGTGACGGCGTCGCACACTGGCTGCAGGCTGCCCGGCAGCTCCTCCGTCTTGATGAACTCGCCAGCGCTGCAGACGTCGATGGCACTGGCGTGCTCGGGAGAAGGGATGCTCACGCCCAGTTTGTCCACCGAGAGCCCGTTGCAGTTGGGCAGCCCGTTGATCACGGAGCCCCTCAGGTCCAGGTTGTGTGTGCTTTCGGGGACGGAGGCGAAACCCGCCGGAGGGTCCGGAGGGAGCTCCGAGGTGGAAGGTACTGGGGAATGTGTCAAACACAAAGCCAAGGCTGCGTCGGAGGATTTCTCTGTCTCCTCGTGGAGCGGTGACCCATCTTTGAGCAGAGCCAACAGATCCGCGGAACAGTCGACCGCTTGGATAATGTCTCGTGCCAGGGGAGTCTGTGTTATGTACTCGCAGAGTTTCTTATAGCAGTTCACCAGGATGCTTAGCTGCTTGTTCTCCTCAAACTGTTCATAGTCCTTGCACCAGCTACATGATGGTTTCATCATCATCTTCTTGCCTTTACACATCTTGCAGACATAATGCTGACATGTGGAGTTGGTGGGAGCGATGGGGTCTTGTAGCAAATTTCCTAAGAGAAAAAGAAAGAGGAAGATTAAAATGGACTCAAGGCAGGTTTCCAGGACAGTATGAGACGAATTTTTTGTACTCTCAAAAAAAAAATTTGCCTCAGAAAGTTAAGTCACAAGAAGATGTCCCAGCCAGACAACAGCCTGCACAAATTCTCACAGTGCCCAGCTGGTTTTAAACAGCATTGAAGAAGAGAAGCAAACCCTCCCACCATGGTTTGTTGTGTGCTGCAGCCTCCAGAAACACTCAACTCCAACTCCACCAATCTCCTTGGCCCCTGCAGCAGTTCTGTCCACAACAGAACACACCGGAGTTCTATGCACCTACCAAAAGGGCAGCAATGAACTCCCCAGGACGACATACTGCAAAGATTTCATTGGAATTAGTGGAAACGGCAGCAGAACAGAAGCAAAGTCTGAAAGGAATGAGCAAATGAGGAACTATCACCCAAAAAGAGGAGACACAGCAGACTTTGGGTTGCTTTTCATCTGGCATCAGAAGAGAGGATTTCCTCTGAGATCTTACTGTAAGAATAAATAATAAAAACCAGCTGCTAAAGGAATCCACACACCTGACAGCACAGAGTTTCACACGCCCAGCACTGACAGTCTGGAAGGTTCTGTCTCCAGATTCCTGAAGGTGTAAAAACCTGGGAGAATGGTTCTGGTTTTCCTTAAGAACAATCCAAACATCACCCAAGGATGAAATATCAAAGACCAGGAGTGACTAAAGTGGTGTATAGACACACTCCAACTAGTGCCTATATCCAGGCAGTGACAGTACTGCTCTGCTATTTCTGGGCAGCTCCAGGCCAGAGGGATATTCCACCTCCCAAAGAGAATTGCAGGGTGTCTGGTCACCTACAAACAGGCCCTCCCTCCACTCCTCTCCTCTCAGCAGCAGACTCTGAGCTTCAATCAGACCTTTCTCCTGCAAGGAGCCTCTCTTGGGTGAGTTACAGCCATCAGGGAATTCCCATCCAGATTTTCCAAAGTGAAAACATGCTGCTACCACAAATGAGTACAACTGAGCCATTTGGGAAGAGGAAGCAAAGTGCATATATCAAACCAGACTGAGATAAAACCCACACCTGTCAGATATAAAGGTACCTTCTCTCATTGCTCACTTCCCTGATCCCTTTTCCCTGCACTCCCTGATCCCCCTCTGGGAAAAAGCCACTCCAGCCCTCCACCTGAGCTGCCTTTCAGTAAAAGTGACTGGATATAAACTGGTTTTTGAGCAACAGCTGACACGAGTCAGTGCAGAACTCACTGTTACAGAGCAGATAAACTGAGAGAAATCTAACTACTGGAAGTGTCACATCGGCAGTGCCACTGCCAGGGCAGCACAGCAGGACCCTCCGTGGGGAGAGTGGCACAGCACTCCTGCTTTGGAAGGAGATGCAAACTGAGAGCATGGAAACCCCAGCTCCCATGGGAAGTATCGCAGCTAACAGTGGTTTAAACCTGGACTAAGTTTCCTTGCCTTGTCCTTACCCTATGCCCTTAGCACCTGCTCTGGGCCACTGGGGAGGTGGCTGGGCAGGAGGGATCCTTGGCAAGGGCTGGAGATGTAGAGCCAACAGATGCACTCACACAGCCCAACCTGCACTGGGAACTCCTCATTTTTTCCCCCCCCAATTCCCTTGAAATGACAGGACATCAACAGCTGTGCAGGCAGGGGTTCTGCCGTGGCCCCGAGGTGAGGTTTGATTTTGTGGGAAAGGCCCCTGACTCCCACGGGAAGGAGGGAGAAGCTTTAGCTCAGAGTGGCTCCCTCAGCACACAGGGCTCACCAGCACAGTGCGGAAGCTGAGCCCTGACCAGTGCAGGAGGCAAACACACCACACACTTCGGCTCTTTAAAGCTCTCAGAGGTCAGAGCCATCACACTCCAGGCACCTACAGCTCTGCCGGGGCCCAGAGCCACTGGCACTGACACCAGTTAGTCCCTGACACAGAGGTGGCTGTGCTCCTGCCAGCCCGAGCCTCTCCCTGCTCCCTGGGACACTGAGGACGAGTTGTTAGCACCTGATGCTTCACACAACTAAAATACTGCAGATACCATTTTAGCTTTTAATTAGGTTTTTTAAAAAAAGGCATTGCCAACTGTGCATTCTATTTCTCCCAAAATAAATTTGGCTGAAACTCCTGAATGAGTACAAATGCTAAAAAAGGGTACTGCAAATTTAAATTTGCAGAAGCTTTGAGGGGAAAACCAGACGGCCCTGACACAACAAACACTTCACAGGCTCTTGCTGAGGCAAGAACTGAGTCCCACTCCCAGTAAATGCCAGGCAACCTACACGGGAGAGACACGAGGAATGCCTGAGCCAGGGGAATATTTTCAGTTTGAGCTCATATCTCATTGAATATTCATTCTCCACAGTTTCTCTCTCCCATGGATTCTGAGGCACTGTGACTGTATCACTCTTCAGCTTCAGCACTAGCAAGTTAAAGGAGCCAATCATGAGATGCAAATTCACACAAATTTAAGTTCCATGACTTGCAGTACCCAGAGATGGTCCCGAGTGAGCAGCACTGTCCCAGAAATGCAGCATGAGCTGCTGCCTGGAACCTGGAGGTGCTGAGCTCTGGGACATCCCAAACTGCTGGATTCTCAAAGGGTCAACACTCACTGGGTGCTGCAGGTGGCCAGATCTCCACAGAGTAAGATGATGAACTCTGCCATGAAAACAAGGCCAGGAAGGGTTTCAAGACGTTATCTGTCCCATCCTGAAAGTGCCAAGAACCACCACACCAAGTCAGAGCAAGGATCCCTCCTGCCTGGCCACCTCTCCAGTGGCCCAGAGCAGGTGCTAAGGGCATAGGGTAAGGACAAGGCAAGGAAACTCTTAATGCTTGTCCAGCTTTAAACCACTGTTAGCTGCAATACTTCCCACGGGAGCTGGGGTTTCCATGCTCTCAGACTCCTCCCAGCCTTGCCTCAGCTCCTCCTAAGCCATTCCAAACGCAATCCCAGCAGGCTCTGGCAAGGTCTCTGGCAGCTACCCCACCGTGCTCAGTCACCTCTGGTCTGAGCAGGACTCTCACTCTTTGCACTGGACTGTTTCTGGTTCCTGTGCCGGATGAGCCAACAGTCAGTCCCTATCCCTCTGCCCCACACTACTCAGGGTAACCCTCCAAGCTGTTCCTACATTGGATCACCTTTCTCCTAATTCCCCTACAGCTTCTTTTTGAGCTGGAGGACCAGAACTGTAGCAACATAAGACATGGGTGAACCACAGCTACACACAGTGGCATGGCAAAGTTCTCCACTCTCCTCTCTATTCCAGTCCTGACTTTTAGCACATGCTTTGCTATTTTTGATTGATGCTAAGGACTGAGATAACATCCTTATAAATCTTCCAATGCAAGGCCAAGATTCCACCTGCATTTTTACCACCCTACACAGCTTAGTGTTACCAAATCTTGCCCTGTCTGTTCTCACCCTCTTCTGCGAGAGGAACATTAATTCACCAAAAGCAAAAGTGGTTCTTACAAAGCCTCCAATAAGAGACTTTCCTACCACATCAGTCCACTGAGGGGTGAGCAGCTCAGTAGGGTTTCAGAGCAAAGGCTGCAAAGGAAAAACTCCCTCCCAAAAGCAGCACTGCTCCCAAAGCCCCAAAGCACTCTCTGCAAGCTCCCTGTGACAGACACACAGGCAGATGACAAGCAGTGAAAAGGTCTGTTAACCATCTGCAGAGGAGTACAACAAATGTGTAAGATCTGCATCACATGGGTGGAGGATCTGGATACTTCCTAGAAAAGAAGATAATACACTCACAAGCACAGGAACCTCGAGAGGGTTTAGTGCAAGGGCTGACAGCCAAGGACAGGGCAGCAGGTGAAGGTGTCCATGCACAGACCCCAGGCCTACACAGCTCCCCCCAGTCCTCCCCGGGGTGAGCCAGGGCCAGGCAGTGTGTTCCACCAGCACTGCACTGCAGCTGGGGCAGACTCACCAGCCAGCATCTGTCCAGCCCGGCCCAACTGCCAGCAGGACATGTTTGGCAGCTGCTCCCACCACACAGCCACCGAGCGGATCCCCTGGCACCCAGGAATCCTACACCCACTCCAGGAGGCACAGCCACATTTCCACTGTGTGGCCACCAAACCAGAGGAGTTCACAATGACAGCACTAGGAATGCACTATCCTTTCATGGTTCTTCAGACAGAAAGAGTTTTATTCAGCCAAAAACTCAAAATAACATGTAATTCCCAAGACTTTCAACACACAACTCTTTCTGAGAGACTGAGACTTTACCTGTGGACTAAATGACACTATTTCCTCCTTAACATACCAGTTTGCTCTTAGATCACCAAAACTGCAACAACAGTGCCGCTGGAATTTGTACAGAGGCAATCACAAGCACTGAGATTCCCCAGCGGGTGAAATGGAATCACGGGCGACAGAAAGCAGCATTAGAAAAACCCCAACCACCACCACCACACAAACTTACTTCAAAATTGGATCAGAGGAGACATTCTGGTGGCTGCTGAGTGTTTCTGAGCATCCTCCATCCACAAACAACTATGAAAAATTAGCTACAGAAATAATTGCCCTCATACAGGGATCATTGTGAGTAATGAATTAATGGTTGTATCATTCTTTGGGAAAATAAAAACTGCACTATTTTTGCCTGAACACCATGGGAACCCAAATTAACCATGATCAGAAGACAGTTGGACTATTTTTCTGTGTATCTGGAGAAATAGTCAATCTCTTTAGCTAAAGTTCAAGGGTAAAAAAAATAAAATCTGACAGCAAATTGCACTTGAACTGCAGAAGGGAGTGCTCTGTTCCCACCCCTGCACAAGGAACAACAGATTCACCACGTCCTAGGTTGAAGTTGTATTACTGCTTCAAAGTCTTTGTGTTTACAAAATCCCTGACTGGAAAAATTCTCAATGTGTTTTTAACAAACCAGTGGTGAAGTTCAACTCTGCAGTGAACAGGCTTTAAAAAGATGGATAGATTCATCTCTCTCACCA